AAATTAACTCATTTGTAATCTTGCCGATTCGTTATTAATTCCAACTTCTTTAACTTAATTAATTCTCGGCTTGAGAATCTTTGAACCCTCTAATGGCTAAGACAGTACCCTCTTTAATATTTCCTGTCTCTGAAACTTGAAACTTTTCTTTCTTTCTTTTTTTTTAATTTGTAAGAATTTTAGTATGTCCTTATTTATTTTAACATTTATTTTTTTGTTTGTTTTTTTTTAAATCAGGTGTTCTACTTTACTGTTATTTTTTTTTAAATTTTAGATATTTTTCAAGTCAATCTTAAATGAATGATAAATGAGTCTTATGTGTGCAAACCTGCTAAAGTGTTATTAGTTACAGCAAGGTTATAATTGTATTGTAAACAAAGTTTGTGAGTTCTGCTGCAAAGTCGGGTCGAAACGTTGGCTTTTAATAAAATAGTTTTGCCACTATTTAGTCTATTTATGACCACCACCCCGGACCATCTCCTTCCTTTATGATGCAACGGTCAAATATTAAATATTCAATTTTTAAAATAAATGTAAATTATTTTACAAGCATTTGTAAAAAAATATGGATTTTTCTCCCAAAAATTGGGTAAATAACAATGATATTACAAGTTTGTTACTTTGTGACTTCACTCAGTTTTTCCCTCGCTATTAAAATACTCATTCCAATGAAACTTTTATAAAGTCGTATATATTTATACTGCTCTAAATCTTATACATATATATATATACACTCACACGCACAATACATATACAATAACGTAAATTCTCGGAATTGACAAATAAAGTTATAATAGATCTAACTTTTGAACGGTTGAAGATAAACAATTGACAAATGTTTGTAAAATAATTTATATTTATTTATAAAATTGTTTTTTTTTTGTGCTATTTATTTTATTTAATAATGACTGGTTCCCAAATTTAACATAAAATATATTGGTATAGATTGCTGAAGAGATTACCAGAAACGTTAAAAAAATAACTATCATAAGTTATATTTGATTTTTATTAAACTGACTTTAAGGCATACACTATATCTCTATGACCTTATAAGACATAAAGAGGAAAATCCTGCGCACGATAAGCGGGGCGATCTGAGATCAGAGTACTAACACATGGAGAAGAAACACCAATAAAGAACTGTTTACAGAAACTGGTCAATCAATATCCCATGATATGAAGACACGGAGGATAAGATGGACATGTGGCTCGTTTCAATCCGTCTGGAAGCCTCTACGTAACAATGAATGCCTCAATAGAAGACAAAAGATCACGTGGAAGGCCAAAAAGTAAATGGATACATAGAATCAACAAATATTCTACAGAACTGCGTACAGATAACTGGAAAGAAATAGTCCAAGCAAGAGATGGAGCTGGCTTGTTAAGGTGACAGAATATCTATATGGTATGTAATGCCAACAGAAAAAGAAAGGGATACACTTAAATGTGAATAGAAATTAGAAAATGAATAGTATTTTTTAGTTTACCCCCATATCAGACTGAAACTACTAGAAACCGCCCGACGTTTTCGACTACTGCAGCACTTACTAGACAAACGCTCTAAGCTTTCAATCAATTACAAACGACTATATATATATATATATATATATATATATATATATATATATATATATATATATATATATATATATATATATATATGACAATAATAAGACCTATTTGGACTTACGAAATTGAACTTTGGGGCTCCACTAAACCATCGAATTCCTCTCGTATCCAATCCTTACAATCCAAAATCCTCAACGCTCCTTACTTTGTCACAAATAAAACCATCCATAAAGACCTTAATGTTTCCGATTTGGCCCAATCCAGATACCTATCCTTCCGTAAACTTCCAAACTTCAGAACCATCCGAACCCTCCGCGGCGTCTGAGAAGAAGATTGCCTCCGGACCTTCTAATATAGAACTTTAATTTGAGTTTTACCAATAGGTAGTTTCTCTTCATGTTTTACATGTCATGTTACCAATGTCACATTTACTTGTTGTATTTTTCATGTAATACAGTTGCTAATTTCATTAAAATGAAAAAAATTTTTGGTTTCTCAATTACAAAATTTTTTTTTAATTTCTTTTTTACTTTAAATTTGAAGATTAAGATTACGAATGGATCCCTAGAAAAGGATTCCCTTCCCCAATTAATAATGCGAGGCTAAGACCTCCTGGGAGGGTCGAGATCCATTTAAATTATTCAGGTAGGAGCGTTAAGAGCTTAGAGGGCGGAGCCTCGTCATCTCTGTGAAATATCTCGGAGCTGGCAGGTGTAGGGGGGAGGGGGAGGGGAGCTCTGGATCTGGGAAGAAGTGAGGCGGTGGTGATCTATGGCCTGCTTCTATCCAGTCCAGGAGCGATTTGTCTCCTACCTCCCTCCTCACTCCTTACTCCACCCTCCTCGTTCTTCGAGGGGTGTCCTCCTAGGGAGGGTGCGACTGATTCACGCTGTGTTGACGATTCCACACGTGAATGCCGACCTACAACTCCCTTCCAAAAATACTCACTTTGCACTTTTCTTACGTATTTACTTCCCGAATCATTATAATATTTTTTAAGGTATTATATCGAGATAGAAGTGAAAATATCATCAAGACGAGATTATTAATATGTAATATAAATTATTAATAATAACTCATTACAAAGATAAATGCTGAACAATTCTCTCGCTTACAGTATGTAGATCCGATTTTTAGTTTCTGAGATATTTTAATCCATATCTTAATATAACTCGTTAATTTGGTTTTTACACAGTTTTCCCTTTCTTTCACATGTTTCACTCTGGTACACCGAGTTGAATTGGCTTTATCCTACTTCCCGACGACAATTCCTCCTTGGCTTTTTCCTTTTCCAAGTCTTCAGAACCAAAATGTCTCCCTACATCCTGGAACTCCTTACTCTACGCTCCTCTATCCACTCTTTCAATACTAGGTCTCAACCTATAGACTTATAGGTTATATATATTCCCTCCCATAAAACTTCCTCCTTCAGCAAATCCTTCGTCATTCGTGCTGCTTCCTAATTCCATACCTTAATCCTCGCCCACAAATTCCTTCAAACAACTCCTGTTCCACCACCTACTCCACATTCAAACTTCCCCTAACATGTAAAATTACTTGCATCTGTGCACTGTTTAATTTCAATATATTGCACAATTGAAATAACATTTAACAGTAAATTAGTTTTTATTTTTATTATTGTGTCAGACTAAGACCCACAAATTTGTAACTCTGTTATTATTCTTAGGAGACAGTAGTCCCAGAACAAAATTATTTTTTCATTTCATTTCATTTTTCCCTTTTCGCCTCTCTAACATGGCGTCGCGTTAGGATACGATTTTGAATTATAACTCATTACAGGAAAGATGAAATGCTGAACATTTCCATCTCTTACAGTATGCTGGTCATTATTTTTAGTTTCTGAAATATTTTAATCCACATCTTCAATAAAACTCGTTATAATTTGGTTTTCAATACCATTTTATCCCTTCTCGCCTCCATAACACGGCGTTGTCGCGTTAAGATACAAAATTGAAAATAATATCCCATATTAGAGAGGATGAAATGCTAAAAAATTCCTTTACTTACATTATTATATAACAAATACATAAAGCAAGTTACCTACAAAACCTTTTAGTGTGAAATTATTCTGTGAAACCATACAGGAATGAAAAACATCAATAAGCCAAAATTTGTAATATGAAGTAAAATTTTTAAGTAATAACTCATTATAAAGAGGATGAAATGCTAAACATCTCCCTCGCTTACATTATGCATGTTAGATTTTTAGTTTTTGAGATAATTAAATCTATATATTAAAAAAACACGTTATGATTTTCGACATTATTTTTCTTATTTCGTCTCTTTAAAACGACGTCGCGTTAAGATACAATTTTGAATAATAGCTCATTACAAAGAGGATGAAGAGATTGTAAAGAAGTGTTCACTTCAATAATACAGTGAATAATATAATAGTAATAATTATAAATCTGGTCTGTTGCATCACTCAACTTTCAGTAGAAATTGTGCTAAGCTATACGAGATGTGGCTATGAAATAACTGATGCTGTAAAACATTTTATTTTTAAATTATAAATATTAACTTAATATTACCTGATTGGTGGTATTCTACCCTCCTTACTATTTCCCTCAAAAATTCCTTCACTTTATCTAATGTCACAATCTTAATATTTTCTGACGAGGAAAAGTTTTTTGAAACTGGTCATAATTACAGCTTTTATCCTGGCATCGTAAGCGGATCCAGGATTTAATTTAGGGGGAGGGAGGGCGGCTTCAACCCAAAAGTTTATATATATATATATATATATATATATATATATATATATAATATATATATATATATATATATATATATATATATATATATATATATTATATATGAATATAACGATTACTAATTTAGAAGTACAAAGAAACTAACTACCTATATAAAATGATGTTTTAGTGATTCTTGAAGACCTATTAAATGTAATTACACGATCAATAATATTTTTAGAGATAATGTTTTAATATATTTTTCATAAGACATGGTTATGTTTTACCATTTTTGGTAAAAACTTCAGCCCGAAAGCCTCCCCACTTAGATCCGCCTGTGCCTCTGGTAATAATTAAAACTGAACTGAAAAACACTGTTAAAGTTTTCGTGTAACTTAAATTAATAAAGAAAAATAAAAAACATTCAATGGAATCAACATTATCAACAAGAAATAGGTGATGAAATTTCTATGACCGCATTTAAATAAATTCTAAGTTTATATAAATATTTAAATTTTTAAATAAGACCTTCTGATGAAATAAATATCTTAATTTGTTATTTTTCTGATTCTCCATTATCATCTTTAAGACTAGATAATTATATTAAAGAACTGAAAAAAATCAATAGTTTTATTGTTGTTTAGAAATAACTACATGTTATAATTCTTTTATGCATTATAAAATATATTTAACATGTTTTTTTTGTTTTTTTGTTTCAGGATTTGGTTTCGTAACATTTCAATGTGAGGACGTTGTGGACAAAGTCTGCGAGATACATTTTCATGAAATAAACAACAAAATGGTGAGTTAATTATTTATTTTATTTATACCGTTGTTTTATTGAAAAACGTCAATAAGTGAAATTTCATAACCTTAAACCACTAAGAGATGGACTTTTCTTGTGAAATTGTGTCTTGTTATTAAACAGGAAAAAATCAAAGTTCTTAGTGGTGTAAGGTTATGAAATTTATATAAGATCAGCTTATGAATTATATATATGCATATATATAGTGTATATTTACTTACGTAATTTTTCGTTTATTTGATTGTAGGCGAACGCGTTGTGCCTTTTTTTTTTTTTTTTTTTTTTTTTTAGCCAATACTTTTATAATTAGTTATCTATCCTTGAAGCAAGTTTAAAGTTCTTCCATTTTTTCTTGATTCCATCCTGGTTCATGTGCTAGCATCCTAGTTAAATTTAATTTAATATTATTTTTTTTGCCATTTTTTTATTTTATTTAATTGGCTGTAAGCCGAAGATCACTCATAAAAAATATTATTTTTTTAAATATTACTGGTTTCGTCTTCTTTAAAAATGTTTAAAGAATCTGTAAATATAACCCTATGTTAATGTTTTTTTTTTCGATAAGCCTACGATATAATTTTTTAGTGCGTATAGTGAACACACCAGAGTGGCTGAACTTTAAATGTAAATAAGAAGCTTCTTTGTGATTTAAAGGTTCCAGTTTTTTCTAGATTGGAGACCAATGCTTTCTAATACAACTGTGTGAACAAAGTTCCCGAAAGAAAATTTCAAAACTCCTATCATTGTTGTTTCTGTAGTTCCCTTGAGATCAGTGTGTTTCATACCTTCCTACTCACAGTTTTGCTATGCGTAATTTGAACATTTATCTTATCTTTATAATTATATGAAAATTATATAATTTTTCTGAGGTATGTCTATTACTGGTACCGAATCCCTTCCATTACTAGGAAATTAAATTTCGTGGTACCTATCACCATTGCTAAAATGTTTTTTTAAATGGATATTATATCTACATATCTGATTTTTTTTTTCAATTTTAAAGTGTTAAATACAAAAGGGAGACCCTTAGGGTGGCGTAAGCCAAAAAATTAGAAAATTTCCTTAGCTATGTTCATCACTGGTGCGCTTACCTTATTGATATTTAATTTATATATATATATATATATAATTATAATAATGTTATTAATATTACAGATATAATTTTTTGACTTGAAAATGGGCAAAATTGGGCCCTACTGTATGTGTAAACTTGAAATTTCGTTCACAGCGTATTACATTATATTTTTGGAAACTTTGGTGAAATGTTTCTGTTGTAAAAGCGTCGTTAAAAAGGAACAAGGTTAGGTTGTAGCTACTTGCCCTAGCATCGATCTCTCTTGAATCAATAGTTGTCGGGACTTATCTCGTCTCCTGGATCCTGCCTTATCTCGATCCGAGATCCTTCAAGTCCTCACGAGTGCTTCCACTCGAGTCGAGTGCTTCGTTTGAACGCAGCTTGGAGATCTCTCCTGATAAATAGCGAGTGGGCAGGGGCATCATTAAATAGATCTTAAATAAAATATCTAGTGTGTCCACTCACACGACTTTTCTACCTATTTCAGAAAAGTTTTTATATCTTTACATATGTTCACGAAGAAGAAAAAAAAAAAATTGAACTAGATTTATTTTCCTGAAAATTGATCAAAGAAAAGATTTGACTACGATTTATTTGATAAACTAAAGCAATGTAAACCGGCTTAAGGTAAATCAGTGTAAAAATTTCAATACTCTCTAATATTGCTGATCAAAAACTTTTTACCATAGCTTAGTGTTGTCAAATAATAATTTCTGATAAAAGTAGTGGAAATAGTGAACAGATTTTCTAACTTTCACTTAGTCATCTTCTTTCTCTCATTCACCCCTTTCTGACACCAGGATATGAACCCGTAATCTTACATTGGAAATTTAAAAGCAGTAACTTCCTTAATAGTTGTCCAAAATGAACGATTTTTATATGTCTTTGTAGGGAATTCCATTACCTTTCAAAAAAACTCTGAAACTTATAGATCCGTCGAAAACTGCATATCGGAAATTTGACCCGATCTCAATACTTTACTTACCTAGTATATCCTGAATCATCGCTAATACTGGTTCGATTCCGATGATTTTTTTTGTTTTGTTGGTAATTTAATTACCTTTCTAAAGTTTTATTAAGCTATTGCGCATGGAGCATCCATCGAATTTCTTTCACAGGGATCAGTAATCAAAACCCTACAAAATAAAAAAAGAAGCAACAAAATTGGTTCAGTAGTTCCCGAGAAAATCTTGGCACAGACAGACAGACCAATGGGTAAAAATGTGTATTTCGGATTCAGGGGGCTCTGAAACGTATAGATCCGTCGAAAACCGCATATATGCAATTTGACCTGATTGCAATAGTTTCCTTACCTAGTATAGGTATTAAAGTAAAAAGAACGTATATATTTTGTTTTAAGCTCATATCGACTTTTTCAGACGAAAAATAGTTCATTATAATTTAATTTTAATATTGTCTCCAATCACTAGAATATCCAGGATTGAATTTTAGGAGGGGGCTTCAGCCTGAAAGATTTTTTTTTCATATACATATAACGATAATTAATTTTGAAAAAAAAAAAGAAATTAACCATATGAAATGATATTTAATTGGTTCTTGAAGTCCTATTAAATATAATTACAAGAACAAGAATACTTTAATAAACAGTTTTTTCTGTAAAACATGGTTATACCCCATTTTGGGGGTAGGGAGAGCATTCGTAGATTCGCCTGTGACTCTAATCAAAATTTACAACTCTAATAAAACTTACTTGAGTTTAGAGGTCGCTCGGTGGATGCAAGAATTTAGACATCGATTACTGGTATCGGCATCGAACCTTAGGGTTCTTTAAGCCTTATTATTATTAAGGGACCTTAATTTAAAAAAAAAAAAACGAGTTATTGAAAACTAGGTTTTGATTTTTTTTTTTTTAATTATGATTTAACTTTGCTTTACTTTATTTTTTTTCTCCTTATTACAAATTTAAAAGTAAAAAAAAAATACTATAAATAAACGACTTAACTATTTAATCTTAATCTATTTCTTGAATTAATTAAAATGATTAGCTAAAGGTTTTGCTGGCCATTTGTCGCAAGAAACAATTTAGCCTGGGACCTGATAGTCCACATATTGGACCCCTCGGTGTTTTACAGACGTGTCCCGACTACACTACAGCATCGCTACACTACCCCCACTCTAATTGCCAACTCTATCCCACTAACCTATCATTAGATACCTTGCTATAATTGTACCCTACAATCTCTATAAATATCAATATCAATACTAAGGTGTTAAGGTCTTTTACAGTTATATATTTCTGGAAATAAATAAATAAAAAAAACTGAAAATTATCACTCAATTGTTTATTATTCCCAAACTATTATATATCAAATGTAGCACTACTTTTCTTGTCACAAAGAAGAAAAACAAACAAAAAAAAAACGCTACAAATTATTTCACAATGGTTTATTATTTACAAACAATTATCTATCTAAAGTAACATTACCTTCCTGGTGACAAAGGAAAAGAAATAAAAGGTGATTCCAATTATTGGGCTAAACTTTTTTTTTTTAAATTATGTTAGGAAAAGAAAGGAGAAAATCCAGGGAATAAGAAAACTGTATAAGGGGAGAGAAGGAAGAGAAAGGGATGTATAATGCTAATTAATGAATTAAACAAATATTTAAAAAAATGAAAAAAATAGAGGGAAAAAAATTATAATAAAAAAAAACATATATATAAAAAAAATTGTATACTAAGCTCATACATATTGTTAATACTGTATAATTGTATATTAGTTTTGGAAAATTGTCTGTAGCTATTAATAAGTATGCTGTGTTTAAAGCAACCCAATGTAATTGGGCAAGCACCCTTTTATGATAATAAAGTGATTCTCTCTCTCTAGTAATATGTTAAAAAAATTACCATTACTTCAATAACACATCAAAAAATTAAAAACCAAAACAAATGAAATAATCTTTGCTCCTTATTGTCCGATTTTAACGATTTTTTTTTAGGAAATTCCATAAACTTTTAAACTTTCAAATTATGTTAGGAAAAGAAAGGAGAAAATCCAGGGAATAACAAAAATGTATAAGGGGAGAGAAGGAAGAGAAAGGGATGTATAATGCTAATAAATGAATGAAAAAATATTTAAAAAATAAAATAAAAAAAATATAGGAAAAAAATTATAATAAAAAAAATTAAAAAAAAACATATATATATAAAACAAAATTGTATACTAAGCTCATACATATTACCATTACTTCAATAAAATATAAAAAAATTAAAAACCAAAACAAATGAAATAATCTTTGCTCCTTATTGTCCGATTTTTTTAGGAAATTCCATAAACTTTTAAATAACCATATACAATACCGACAAAAAGTGTATATACTTTTGAAATCACCTGTTACTTTATCCATAAAATCGGCAAAGCAAATAAAATTAATTTAAAACTTCTTTAATGTTTGGAACCCCAACATGTCTACAAATTTCAATAAGCTGTATTTTCGCTAATAATTATCCGATTTCGATGATTTTTTTCCCTTTTGTAGGAAATTTAGCAATTCTTTATCTAATCTTGGACACAACCAAAAGAAAAGAGTGTAATTTTTTAGGTGTTCACAAAAAAAAGTTTCTTTTCTTTCATAACTTTTTTTGCCTGAATTTCGGGGCAATTGGACTATTTTTCCTGCCTGAAGGAGAATTAATCCTCCAAAATTAGTGGTTCAATCGTGGGATTTAATGAAGAATTAACGATGATATGACTTACCGACAAAAAACACCTTCGATGAACAATATAAACTCCTCCTCTCTCGATCATAGAGACCTCAAAGTCGACGGAACGAGAACCCTATGTCTTGTGTTATCTCGAAAATAGTACCTTTTTTTGGCTTAAGAACTCCGGGCTGGGTCTTGGTGTACGCATTAAAATCTTCAAAGCCCAATTTTTCCCATTATGATCTACAGACTTAACACC